ATCTGCAGCCCCAAGCCGCACATGGCTGCCCAGGGCTGAGGGCACAGCCCCGCCTGTCCCAGGGGGTCTGTCGGAGCAGGCTGGGGTGCTGGTGTTGCTTGAGGTCACTGGGTTGGCTTATACCCTCACGGCGGGGCCGGAGCCCGTGGTGAGGGGCACGGTGGAGCTGCAGTCATAGTCCAGGTCCACCACGGCGTGGGAGCTGGTGATGAGGCTGTTCAGGGACGGCCCCGTCTGCCGCTCTCGGAAACTCTGGATGTAGCTCTGCTTGAGAGAAGGGGGACAGAAAGTGAGGGGGGCTCTGATCCTGGCCCAATCCACCCCACCCCACCCTAACCTCTGCAGCAGCCCCCCCAGAACCAGCCCTGCGCAATCCCACCCACCCCAGCAGTCAGGCCCTCTGGGGGCTGGCTGCAGCAGGGCGCACAGCCCCGTCCCTTCCCTGGGCACACACTTTGCACCTTGCCCACCGCCTGTTTCTACTGCAGATGCAGCACTTTTGGCCACCAGTTTACATTTGTTTGCAAAGACTGAAGTGCTCCATGGTGGGCACATCCCAGCCCAACCCTTCCCGAGTTGTCTGGTCTCTGGGATGCCCTGGCCTTGTCCCTCAAGGAGCTTGGATTCTGGCTGGCACCCGTGCACCTCTCTCCTCTCCGCGCACCAGCCCACCCACATGGAGAAGGAAGGGCCGTGGAGGCCGGGGGAGATCTCTACCCTGGGTGCGGGACTCACGGGGGAGAGCACGTCCCCATCGAAGCGGCGCACAGGGTTGGGCTTGCGGCGGTAGGCAGGCTCAGGTGGGTGGGCTTTGTGCTGGTGAGGTGGTGGGTGGTGGGGTCTCCGCTTCTTCTTCTTCTCTTTTCGGTCCTCCCGCTGCTTGATGCGCATCAGCTGCACACGGCGCTGCTGCCGGCTGATGATCACTGTGGGGCAGAGGGGCCTGTGAGCACTGGGGAGTGCACCTTAACCAGCCCCACACCCAAATGAGCCCCAGATTTGCACACCCAGGCCTACCCCTTGAGTGCTGTGCCCCTGTAGAGTCCCAAACCCCTTATCTGTGCATGCAAACCAGGTGCTGGAACCCTGAACCCCAGGCCCCCCAGCTCCTGCACCCATCCTGTGCCACGTCCATTTCCCCCAGCCCTCACACACCTTCTGTGTGGGAGTAGCCCTCAGCCGTGACCTTCCACTGGACCAGGACGCCCAGCGTGGTGAGGAGTGGCCAGACACCCAGGATGACCCAGCTGTACCAACACACGGGGCGAGCAGGGGCCACCTTGATGCGCTCATAGATGTACTGCACCAGGAGAAAGAGCTCGATGAAGTAGTCGACAGTGACGGTCATGATGGCGCTGCCAAAGACGGCAGTAGAGAGGGTGGTGAAGAAGCGCTGCCACTGCAGGGTGAGGACGGCAAAGAGCATCCCCACACCCAGGAGCAGCGCTATGGGGATCCACACCGTCGGTGGGTGGTAGAATTGCTCCATCACCACCAGCGTGGCCACTGCCAGCAGCAGCCCCAGGAGCAGCCCCACCATGAAGAGGCCGACGCTGCGCACCAGCATGGTGACCAGCCCACACAGGACCCCGATGCCCAGCCCGATGCCCACTGATGCCTCCACGCTCAGCTGTGTGTCCAGCACCCGCTCCTTGTAGCACAGCATGAAGATGATGATGGAGCCGAACATCAGCCCTGTCAGGAACATGACGGCCTTGAAGCAGCGGTAGCCTGTGGAGAGACCGCTGCAGTCAGGGAGTGGATGGCCACCACCCCTCTGGCTCCCCCCTGCCCTTCTTGCCACTCGCCCCACCAGCCACCGGGCTGTTCTGGCTCACCGAAGAAGCAGTAGATGATGCCGAAGAGGCAGCACATGGCACACACCACTGAGGGCACCACCTGGTAGCGACGCTCAATTTCCTGCTGGCAGCTGTGCCCCCACTCCTGGTCCGGCTCGTGCGGCAGCAGCTTGAACCGCAGCGTCTGCACAGTTGCAGTCATGGCTCTGGGGACTCCCGGGAGAGGCATCAAAATCTCCGCTCCTGCCCCATGGCTTGCCAGCAAAACTGCTCCCTGGCGCCCGCCCCAGCTGGTGAGAGAGAGAGAAGGGGGATGGAGGCGCCACCAGCACAGGCCTGATGGCAATGCCCATCATTCAGCACCCAGCGACCAGAAAACCCACTCTGGCCCCTCGTGACCTGGGTGGGAAGGGAATAGGGGAACAGCCTCACCTGCGGGGGCTGCAGGGGCACAGACGAGACCAGTGAGAGGCTGCAGTGATGCACCATCCCCAGGGAGCCCACCTGCACCCTGGGGAGCTTTGCTGTTGGGACACAGCACTTTATAATCTGTCTGCAGCTTCAATTTCCTGCCCCTGGCTCTCCAGTGTCCTCTCCCTGTTCGATTAAAGGGAGACTTCCACTACCTGGTATTTTCTGACTGTGAAGTAATTATGCTCAGTAATTAAGTCACCCCTCAGTCTTCTATTTTTATAGGCTAAACAGATTGAGCTCTTAAAGCTGGTACTCCAAGGCATTTTCTCCAATCCTCTAATCATATTTCTGGCTATTTTTCATCCCTGCTTCAGCTCCTAGTGTCCTTGTAAAAGCAAAGCAGGCCCCCACACTGGATCCGGCTCTCCCACGCCAACCCACGGGGACAGAGGGGGATGGGCCCTGGCTGGTGCTGCCCCTTACCCAAGGGCTCACCTGAAATGCCACGGCTGTGCCGGGATGCCGAGCAGGCAGTCGCCAGGCCACCTGCAGAGCCTATGTAGACAGAGGGGTCATAATCCCCCGCAAAGACTGATCCAGCTCCAGCTTAAACCTAATTACAGCAGCCGTCTGCCTGCTCCCACCTGGAGCCAGTTCCAGCGTGCCTTTGCTCCCCTGGTCCCTTTCTGGGCCCGGTTGGTTTCGGATGGGTTTACTGTCACCAGTTGTCCCCAGGCCAGCACCAGTCTGTCCAAGTGCCACGTTAAAAGCAGCCGGCACGGCTCACAAAACCAGAGCACCGAGAAGGGGCAGGGATGAGGGCAGAGGCTGCAGTCTGGCTGCCTATTGCCCAGCACCTCGCTGCTGCCCAGGCCGGGCCCCACCGGTAGCTCTTCCCTGCCACAGGCCTCTTCCCTCCCTGCGGCTGGGGAAGGAAACACCAGCCAGGGCAAATCCCCCCGGGGGGAAACCGAGTGCAGTGACTAATCCTGGGGAAGCAGGCAGGCAAGGAGCGGGCAGCCAAGCGCCGGGCCCCTGCCCGCCCTGCCTGAGCCCCCGAGGGGATGCTAAGCAGGATTGGACTTTAACCGCAGAGCCCAGGAGCGACGCACTGGCCCTGGCTGCCCCGACGGGGACGGGCGATGCTGTGTGGGGTGAAAGAGGAGCTCTGTCGACCGCCCGTGTCCAGGGAACGGGGCACAGTGGGACCGGCTGGCTGGCGTGGGCATGGCACGGCACGGCCCGGCCAGCAGAGCACAGGGAGGGCAGCGAGATGCAGCTCTCTGCCCCTCAACCCACACCAGGCCCGGGCCAGGGCAGCGAGGAAGGGTCGCCTGGGAAAACCCGTCTCGGGCAGGGTTGCGGGCAGGGTTGCAGGCAGCGTTGCAGGCAGCTCCCGGCGCCCATTGGCGCGGGCACTGTTGCTAGGGGAGCCCAGCGCCTGCTCATTGGCGCCGGGACTTACCCACCTGCTGCCGCCCTCCCCGCAGCCCCGGGCTCCCC